CTCTCACTTCATCTCAGGTACGAGTTGGAGCATAGACATGGTCATAAATCAAAACCTCTGGACCACTGTCTCCCTAGCCCCGCAAATGTAAACAAGGCCGGGCATTCAGCTCGCATCCTTCTTCCTCCTTTCTTTCTCTGTGATCCTGCTTCTCCTCAGTGAGGAGGTGTCGGCTTCTCAACCAAGCCCGAACCATTGCTCTCACTTTTAGTTCTGATCCCCACACCCTTCTTTATTAGACTTAATAAACAATACCTGTGACAAAACAATTTTTTCACTATTAGGTTTACATGTCTCCTGATAGCAGTTAACTCAAAAAGCACTGGTCATTTCCATCCTACATTCAAAACTAAATATCATTGGCCATAGCTTACTGTTGCTCACATTTAAGCATCAGCATCCAAGGGCAGAAACATTGTGTGGGCTGAGTGTTTATCATCATAAAGTCTCCAACTTCTCAATGGTGCACTGAGCAGGGTCCTCACAGATGGCTTCTCAGAATCACCGACTAATTAGCTGAAGTTCAACCTTTCCCACCTACAAGAAGGGAGAGTGTTTCTCAGTACTTTCTGTTTAAAAGTTCTAACTTTAAATTCTCCTATATCAACCCCACAGCCTCAGAGTTGAGGTATATTAAGGGCATATCTTCGTCTCCAGTATTGTCTCGTAAAACCAAATCCAGGCAATCTGAAATCAATGTTGTTTAGGGAAACTGGCCTAATGAAGGACCCCCAGGTAGGCGTTCCAAAGCCAGGGTCCTGATGACACCACCTTCATCCTCCTGCAGCCTTTCCCCACACCTGACGGTTGAGGGCTCCTTTAGTGACTAGATTCAGTCTGTGTCAGTTGCTTGGAATACTGATTACAGATGTGAGAAAGCCTCCTTGGAATGTGGAGCCCTGAAGGCCCTCAGAGAAACAAAGAAAAATGACCTTGTGTGAAAAATGAGGGGCTATGTGAGCAGGAAGCTCTTATAATCAGCACCAGTCCAAGTCACAGTCAACAAGAATTTTCAGCTATCCATGGAAAACTAATACACTGTATAAACTTTCACCTAAAATACATTCAAATGTCAAATAAATAAATGATTCTCCACTAATTGCCCTCTCATGGTTGGATTTGTAAGTTTGACCCAAACGTCATTTTACATAAAATGGACTCTTAATAATAAAATTGTCAATATTTTATCAATGATACCATAATATAATATAATATTAATAATAAATATCTTATAATTTAATAATATGATCATTAATGATGTTGTTGTTGTTGTTAGGTACCATCGAGTTGGTACTGACTCATAGCAACCCTATGCACAACAGAAAAAAACACTGCCCAGTCCTGGGCCAACCTCACAATCATTGCTACATTAATGATGTTATATAATATTAATTGCGATCCTTATGTGGCACTGTAAGATAAGCACTGGACTAATAACTACAAAGTCAGCTGTTCGAACCTGCCATCCGCTTTTCAGAAACCCTATATAGGGTTGCTGAGTCAGAACTAACCTGACAGCACTTAACAACAATGTTGTTGTTGTTAAGTGCCGTCGAGTCGGTTCCGACCCATAGCGACCCTGAACAGGGTTTCCGAGGGTGTAAATCTTTACGGGAGTAGAAAGTCTCATCTTTCTCCCGTGGAGCAGCTGGTAGTTTCGAACCGCTGACCTTAAGGTTCGCAGCCCAAGTCGTACCCATAGCAACCCTGAATAGGGTTTCTGAGGGGCAGCTGGTGAGCTTGAACCACCAACATTCTTTAATAAATATTGTTGAGATGGAAATGTAACTCAAATGTATATAAAATTTGAGACTTTGACTCTAGTTTTATGAAATTACTGATTTTGAAAATCCAACAAGACTGTGTCTTCAGTCCCTGGTGCAAAATGTTCACAGGGTTTGATGTCCTGGACTTCCGGGACTAGAGGTGGGGCTTGATTGGGTATTCGTTTGTTATTACTTCCCAACCCAGCAGATTTGGATGAGTGAGATATTTTTTAGATTCTGTATGAATATTAAGGAACCCTGGTTTGCTATAGGATAACCACAAGGTTGGCAGTTCAAACCCACCAGCCATCTGCGAAAGAAAGATGTGACTCTGCTCCCTTAGAAACCTTGTAGAGAGTTGCTATGAATTGGAGTCAACTCAATAGCAGTGGATTTGGTTTTTTGGTTTTTGGTATCACTATTAGGGAGTCCTGGTGTAGCACTGTGGGTTAATGCACCAGACTGCAAAGCCGTTTGAGGCTGGCGCTTCAAGCTCACCAGCTGCTCCTTGGAAACCCTATACAGGGTTGCTATGGGTCGGAATAGACTCAATGGCACTTAACAACAACAAATTAGGGAGAAGATCATCCTAGCACCTGCTCAGAACATACTTCTTAGCCCTTGAAATAGTACTATTCCAAATCATTATTAACAAATCATCCTAAAACTTAATGACTTAAGACAACCATTTTTTGCCTCCCTCTTTTGGGGATCAAGAACTTGGACAGAACCGAACTGAGCAGCTTGTCTTTGTGGCATTAGCTGGGGTGGTTTGATGGACTGAATGATCCACCTCTGAGAAGCCTCATCCACAAGACTGATGGTTAATGCTGACTACTGACTGGAAGCTCAGCAGACACTGTCGTCCAATGGCTCTCCAGCTTGATGATTAATCAAACTTCTTGTACAGAAAGAGAGTGCCAAAGACTAGGAAGGAGAAACTACCCTTAAAGCCTGAGCTCAGAAACTTGCATAGTCTTATGTCCACCATTGTTGTTGTTGTTGTTGTTAAGTGCCGTTGAGTCGGTTCCGACCCATAGTGACCCTACACAGGGTTTCTGAGGCTGTAAATCTCTATGGGAGCAGAAAGCCTCATCTTTCTCCCGCAGAACAGCTGGTAGTTTCGAACTGCTGACCTTGTGGTTTGCAGCCCGATTTGTAACCACTACGCTACCAGACCTCCACCATACACCACTAGTTAAAACAGTCACAGAGACCACCAGAATCAAGGAAAGGAGACATAATCCCACATTTCTATGCAAAGAGTGTCATAGAAATGTGGCCATCTTTGATCCACCATAAGAAAATATTTCTGATTACCAACATGTTGTTGTTGTGGTTGTTAAGTGCTGTCAAGTCAGTTCTGACCCATAGTGACCCTGTATAGGGTTTTCGAGGAGCAGCTGGTGAGCTTGAACCACTGATCTTGTGGATCAAACCAACTTTGCAGTCCAGTGCATTAACCCACAGCGCCACACCAGGTACTACTAAGTTACCGACATAGGCTTCAGAGATTATATACAGGTTGGCCTCAGAAGGGCAAAGAATTGGCATGGAGAGAACATAGCCAGGACCTGGACTTGCTACAGGTGCCCAGTATCATGTAATAGGTACTTGATAAATACCTATTGCTGTTTACTGTGTTCTGTTAGTCAATTCAGTTTAATTTAATTAGACTCTGCAACTCGTGTCCTGGTGTGATAGAATAAGAACTGGAATGCTCACTGTAAGATCATTCGTTCAAACACATCAGCTACTTCTTGGAAACCTCATACAGGGTTACTGTGAGTTGGAACCAACTCAATGACACTTAACAACAGCAACAACATCTCAACACAATATAGCGTTATTCAGTTCAGTTGGATTCAGCTTAACTCAACTTTACTAAGCTTAATTCATCCATCCATTCATTCATCCTCCATCTATCCATGCTTTCAATAAGTATTTTGTGGGTATTCCTTTGTGTAAATTTCTGGGGGGCAACTCACCTCCCATTCCAATCCAAATGATAATCATATGTTGTGGTAAAGACAAAACTGGCCTTAGAATAGGGCTGTCCTCTTTGTAACTTAGCCATTACATTTACTACCTTGAACAGTTTTCTTAACCTCACTGAGTCACAATTTCTTCATCTGTATAGCAGGAATAATAATACTTATTTTGTCAGGGTTTTTAAGGATTAAGTAACTAAAATGGTATCCATCAAATTCTCCCACTTTTTTTTTTACCTACCTGGACTTAAAAGAAAAAGCAAGCAAAAAAAAAAAAGACCCCAAACTTACTCTAAAACCTGGAAAACAGGAGAATTCACTCAGAAGGAGAGTACTCCCCATTGCAGTATGGTCCCAACCCATGAGATGCTGTCCCTGTCCTCGGTTCTCCATGGTTCACAAAGATCTCTTTAGAAATCCCTGCTGAATGCATTCTGGGAAACCACCTTGACAATTACTCAAGTTATATTATCACTTCCCTGGGCTCAGTTTGATTACTGATTTCTTGTTTTAAGAATCAGAGCCTAATATTTGAGCTCATCTTTGCCTGTCCCCTTGGTGTTGTGCACATTCCCATACAAGCTGAAAAAAAGACGTGAGCAATGGAGGGAATGGTGGCCCAACCCAACCAGCACATCAGAACTTTGAAAGAAACACAGAGACATCCTATAGTATATAGGTTGTTGTTGTTGTTGTTAAGTGCCGTTGAGTCGGTTCCAACCCATAGCGACCCTGTACAGGGTTTCCGAGGGTGTAAATCCTTATGGGAGTAGAAAGCCTCATCTTTCTCCCGCAGAGCGGCTGGTAGTTTCGAACCGCTGACCTTAAGGTTCGCAGCCCGATTCGTAACCACTACGCTAGCAGGTGAATATTAAAACAAGAGAAGAAAAAATGAGCAGTAGGATGGGAAGAACAAAGTAGAGAAAGTGAGATCACATCAGGGTAAGTTCCTGCTAACCACAAACATACTCACTCTCTTCCCTCTACAACTTAGACTTCCATGTCATTAAACATCAGCTCCCAAGGTAAACCCTTGCCTTTAAAATAGATGGGCAACTGAGCTACAGGGTACCCAATGTTGTGCATTCCCAGGTTCCCTAACCTTAGGAAAATAGTCCATTTATGTCTCCCTCTCTGTTTGCTATGTATGGCTACAATCAGATCCAGGTTTCTCTTTTTAAAGACATGTCTTTCATTCAGATGTGGCCCCAAGTCATCTCATGTGAATACCTTGTTTTCTTAGGTATTCAATGATCTCAGATGCAGAAACAGAAAGTATCTTCATGGAACCCATTCACCTGTCCTCAGCAGTTGCAGCCAAACAGATCATCAATGAAGGTAATGTATGCAGAAGTGGGGTAGGAACGGGTGAGTCCAACTGTCCTATGGAAACCCTGGGAGTGGGCAGCTTTGGAAGGTGTAAACTTGGCTCTCTGGGACTGTCTATCACACTAAGAGGAGCAGGTCCAAAGAAGGCAATTCTATCAAACCTTCTTTATTAATTAGCCTTCACAGGACAGAGAAATTGTTATATATCAATGTGAACAATTATCCAGTCTACAACCAAAGAGGCAGCACTGAGTGTCAGAATCTGTACTTGAGGCCCCTACTATGCTTTCTGGTTAACCTCAGAGTTATTGGAGCCGCTCATGCTAGAGATACAGGCCTTAGAATCCCAGAAATGACTAGGAGCCTCCAGATAGTTCCATTCAAAGAGATATCTGGAGTTGGGTTTACATTTCCATTCGCTGTTTAAAGATGGTCTTCAAACTAGAGTATGCATGGGGAAGAGGTAAGGCAAGGTAGGGTGGGAAGAGATATTAATGTTGATAGTAAATTTTGAAGTGAATGATGTACTAGAATATAGTCAAGGATGTTCAGCTTGATTGGATGGATTATTTTGTTTTATAAATTTTAGGCACATAATCTTTTGAGATTTCTTTTGTTTCTTTTCCCTGAGTGACCTCTGAGCACTTCTGTTGGGGTGGGTGGCAGCGTGCTGATAAAATGGGGCCTGATTATGCTTTGGACTTCCTCTGATGATCATGACCCCTTCTGAGTGGAGTCATAGAATCATACATGCTGCTCCTTTTCTGCCAGAACCCCAGCATTTTGGGGTCTCTTGGCTCTTGGGTCCTCCCCAGGTCCCCCTTGGTGTGGCACTGTGAGTTAATGCGCCAGACTGCAAAGCCGTTTGAACCACAAGGTCAGCTTGAATGCTCACCAGCTGCTCCTCGGAAACCCTATACAGGGTTGCTATGGGTCGGAATCAACTCCATGGCACATAACAACAGCAGGCCCCCTTCCTTATACGCATCTCATTAACCAAGAGTTCTATCTGCTGTTGTTTGTTGCTCTGGTCATCTGTGACACACCATCTTCTCAAAACTCCCTCTGTTGTTTGTTAGTTTTCTTTAACCAAGTGACCCACGCGTCTCTATTATCTTGCTCCGTGCCAGGTCACAGCCTGTGTTGGTGTAGCTCTCTCTGAATGGCTCCCAGCACCAGAGATCTATTCCTCCTCCTGAGTGGCTGGGAATTTCCCTTGTTGTCTATCCTACTCTGCGATTTACACTGTGGCTCACTCTCCAAATTCTGGTTATTGCTAAGTAAAAATTCAGCTTTAGGAGTTGGAAGAAAAACTTTTTCTCCTTTTGAAAACTCACTTTTAAGCCTACTGAATGCTGTGGATGTTCAAAATCTTATTTGAAACTAAAAGATCACCTTTCTTCTAGGTCTTTTCTACTCTCCCCTTCTTTGGGACCTTATGCCTCAGACTCTTAAGTCTAAGTGGCTAGAGGGCTTTGAAGGAAGAAAAAAATGGATATATTCCTGAGAAAGGAAAGCATATTAAGTCATCTTTTCAAACAGTCTCTTGCTCACTAGTGCTCATGGGGGTAAAATGTATGTTGTAGAACCTTCAGATTTCATGAAAGTCTGCACATGCTGCTCATCTGAGAGGAAGCTGAGAGGAATGTTTGGGTTTACATTTCTTCTTGAGACACCATAGGTAGCAGCAATAAATGGGAAGAATGAATGCTGGGAGGGAGGTGAATAAGGGTCTAGGGAAACTAGGAGTTGTCAGTGAGGATGAAGATCTGGACATTTATTTTTAAATTGAATAAGAGGAAATTAAAACAACCACCTGCTGAGGAAGGCATTACTGTATATTTTAATGAGGCCCTGGGGGGGTTTATTTTTTTACATGTAGGAAAGGAAAAAGAGGGACTTTTACATTTGGTATTTAAGACCCCAGAAGAGCCAGGGGAGAAAACTGGGTGGTAGAGAGAATTGGAAGGCTCCTTGTATTTTTAGACAAAAGCCCTGGGATTGCAGATGTTTTCTTTGTGTTTTTGAAACAGAGATCTGAGATCATTTAGAGCTGAGAACTGGAGCTGAGGTGTGGGGGCCACCAGGAGGTTATCAGGTAATTTAGAGAGGGAAGAAAGAAAATTTAGGGAAATAGAGTCTTTAGCCCTGGGCGAAAATAAGGATTCCCAGGATTCTCAATCTTTGAGCAGCAAGCCCCATTTACAGATACCTGTCATAAGCTGTTCCATGAATGCTGGACTAACTCAATTTTCCAAATGCAGAGAACTCTTCACACAGCTCTGACATGGAGTTTATCAGGGACGGAGATGGTGTGGACATACCTTTCCTACTTCACTTCTGTAGTTCTTTCTTTTGTTGAGTATTTGGGGCTATCCAGAGGGAAGGAGTCCTGGTGTGCCGCTATGGGTTACTGCACCAGACTGCAAAGCCATTTGAACTGCAAGGTCAGTGGTTCAAGCTCACCAGCTGCTCCTCGGAAACCCTATACAGGGCCGCTATGGGTTGGAATCGACTCAATGGCACTTCACAACAACAACAAATGGAGGGAAAGTTTTTATTCTTCCCTCCTTTTGTCTGCTTTCTTAGAGAAAAGAAACATCTTACTTTCTCCCAAATACTCATACTTGATAAATCTTAAGCAAATATATTAGAAGAGAAGGAAAGCAGTTCATCCTAGCCATGGATGGGTTGGAACTTGTGCTGTCCTGAATACAACAGTATTTAAAGGCCCTGAGTCCTGTTCTGAGGCTGGCATCGGAGCTCAGATCAGACTCCTGCCACCTGTCTGAGAGCAGAGAGGCTGAGAAACACAGGAGCACACATTCTAGTGGGAGACAAAGACAATAGATGAAATAAACAATCTCAGTGATTGACGCTGAGAGTTTTACTTTTTCCCAGATTGTTTACATTTCATCTGTAGAGTGAATTGTGTTATGAAAGAATATCATTTATTCATTCAGTAAATACTTCTGAGCATTCACATTGTAGCAGGCACTGTGGGAGTTATAGGTATGACTCAGAAAGATCCCTAATACTAAAAGATTTCAGTCCAAAGCACCAATCAGCTTGAGCAGGTGAGGAATAGGGAAATGTTCCTATTTAATGGGTTCAAGTGTGACAACAATTGCGAGGTTGGCCCAGCACCAGGCAGTGTTTAATTCTGTTGTGCATAGGGTTGCTATGAGTCGGTACCAACTCGATGGCACCTAACAACAACAACATATATACATGCTGCTGCTGACTCTGATCACAAATGTCCATCCGGCCCGTGTAGTGAATCCCCTGAGCCTGCATTAAGTCTCTTCTCACAGATGCCGCCTATGCCCAGAGTTGTTGTTGTTAAGTGCTGTCGAGTTGGTTCTGACCCATAGTGACCCTGTATAGGGTTTCCAAGGAGCGGCTGGTGGGTTTGAATCATTGACCTTGTGGTTCAAACCGACCTTGTGGTCCAGCACATTATCTTGCAGCGCCACACCAAGGTAGGTTTTCCCAATTTTCTGGCAAAGCCATGGTGTTCCAAACCCTTTGATGAGGTTGCTGCCTGTCTCCTCTAGAACTCAAGCCACGGGGGGTGAGAGCAGACTCGGAGTGCCCGGGCCTGCTGGAGTCTGCTGAGCAGCTGCTGGTGGAGGACCTGTACAACCGTGTCAAGGAAAAGATGGATGACACCAGTCTGTACAATACCCCCTGTGTTCTGGATCTGCAGCGGGCCCTGCTCCAGGACCGCCAGGAGGCCCCCTGGAATGAGGTGGATGAGGTCTGGCCCAATGTCTTCATAGCTGAGAAGTGAGTCTGATTCCTGGGGATCATGGTTCTTTGTCCCACTCCCCTGGTCTATGCCTATGAGAGATAAAACTTCTCCAACTTTCACCAAAGGACTCAGTAGCTGCATCTAACAATTTAAAGCTGGCTGACCATTCACCTAGCCCTGGCCTTGAAGAAAGGCATCCACCCACCTGTACACAGAGATCACCATGCAGATCGCTGACAGGATTATTTATTCCCTGCCCTGTTCCCATAACCATCCTACCCATGTTCCTCCAGGAGCTTCTCTGGGCCTCCCTTCCTGCCTCAGAGTCCTGCCAACTTACCCTTAGCTCTCACAACCATTCCCTGACGTCTGTAACGACACATAACAAGACACTCAGAGCCACTGACCACACAATAGTTTGTATATATAGTAAAAAGGACAATGAGGCTATACAACATGATGCTATTTTAATGCTGCATAGACAGACGTGTGTCTGTGTGGGCAACAAACTGGAAAGAAATGTGATAAAATGATAGCAACACTTTTTTTCCTGGAAGATGGTTTTTTAAAGTGATTTTTATTTTCTTCCTTAGACTCCTTTTGACTTGTACAAATTTCCTATTATAAACATTAATTTTTTTATAATCAGGAAAAAAGATGCTACTTCTGAAATATCTCAATTTATCAATGGTTTCCAGAACTAAAACAACACACTCCCATCCTATTCCTTCAGGGTCGTGTTGGTGTATAATTGGTACCAATAGGTTAATCAGTGAAACCAGTTTTTGTGGATCTATTGACTATTTAATGAGATGTTGCTCCAAGTTCATTACCCATATATCCAGAAGAGAAGGACGTACTTGGGGCAAGCAATAGGGACAATAGCTTTGGACACTGAGTCTTGAACTCCATCATGGGCTAATCAGTTGCCCAGAACCCAATTTTCAGAGCTGGACATTGAGTCCTAAAACCTACTGCCATCAAGTTAATTCTGGCTCATAGGTACCCTATAGGAAGGACAGAGTTCAAGTGCTCAATAGGACTTCTGAGGCTATAAACTCTACGGGAGCAGACTGCCTCATATTTCTCTCATGGAGAGGCTGATGGGTTCAAATTGCCGACCTTTTGGTTAGCAGCCTAATGTTTAACCCATCTACACCACCAGATCTGTAGACCCAAAAAAGTTCATATTTATGGACCACTAGTGACTTCAAGCATCTCCAGATATCCCCAGCTGAAGGGTTCTGCTCTTTCTTGGACAATCCTGTCCTTAGGGCCTCTGGAAACTAAACTCCATATATTCATTTGCAGAGAAAAAAAAAAAAAAAAAGCTCTGAATTAGAAATAAAAATCCCTGACTCTTATTTTGTCTTTTCCTCCTTTCACAGTGCTGGGAAGTTATATAACCACTCTTGGATTCATTTTCACTATCTTCAAATGGGAATAAAAATAGTTGCCATATCTACCTCTTAAGTTTTTTATTAACTACCTACCAACCACAGTCATCAAGTTAATTCCGACTCAAAGCAACCCTGTCTAGGGTTTCCAAAGCTGTAAATCTTTATGGGAACAGAAAGCCTCATCTTTCTCCCACTGAGCAGCCTGTGAGTTTGAACTGACAACCTTGAAGTTAACAATCAAGTGTTTATCTTACAGCACCACCAGTGTTCCTTAAGATTATTATTTGGATTTAACAATATAAATGTTTTTAAGTGCATGTGAAAACACTTTGAAAAGTACATCATTTTTGTCTGCCACTTCTATGTCTTAATGAACGTCCATTCCCAAGGTGTAAGATTTCTAAACTATGCATCTCTCTGGAGCTGTCCAAGGTTTCCTTACCAGTCATGTTCTCCTGTTCATCCTGCTCTTCTCTGCCCAGTTCTCCATGTCTTCACTGCCAGTTTACTGACTTCTTCTTATAATTATCTTTGCAGTGGGCTCCAGACACATCAAAGTTCCTGGTGGCAAAAATGAGGAAGCACTGGGCTACTAATCACAAGCTTGGAGGTTTCATACTCACCCAGAGTGCCTTGGGATACAGACCTGATGATCTGCTTTTAAAAGATCACATCCTTGGAAACCCTTTGGAGCAGTTGTACTTTGCACATATGGGTTACTAAGAATTAGAATCAACTTGACAACAACAATAGGCAGACACAGGCACTTCCCAGTTATGGCCATCCTGACCTGATCTGAGCAGTCCCTCTAGCATGGTGGTAATGCAGGAGAGCTTGCTAGCTCTGACTCTGCTGCCAAAGATATCCCTGTTTTTCCCTCCAGGAGTGTGGCTGTGAACAAAGGAAGGCTGAAGAGGCTGGGGATTACACATATCCTGAATGCTGCTCATGGCACCGGTGTTTACACTGGACCAGATTTCTACACTGGTCTGAAGATCCAGTACCTGGGTGTGGAGGTGGACGACTTTCCGGAAGTGGACATCTCCCAGCATTTCCGGAAGGCTGCTGAGTTTCTTGATGAAGCCCTGCTGACCTATAGAGGTGAGGGGGGTTCGGCCTGTTCCAGAATACTAGCACTCCATAGAGGGAAACAGTAGTGGGGAATACCTTAAAAACCTCCTAATTGTCTGCCATGTCTGGAAGTTATCTGTCTTAAGAAGGTTGTTGTCTTACTGTAAGAAGAAGAAAATGGAAAAGATGGTTGTCCAGTTGCTAAATATTTATTGAGGGCCCAACATTTGCCCAAGGTCTCTGGGTGGCACAAATAGTTTGTGCTTGACTAACCTAAAAGCTGGACTCCTGGTGTAACGCTGCAGGATCAGCACTGGACTGTGAACCACAAGATCAGCAGTTCAAACCTACCAGTTACTCCTTGGGAACCATATACTGAGTCGCTATGAATCAGAACTGACTCGAATGAATATAACAACAACCACCACCTAAAGGTTGGTGTTTCAAATCCACCCGTGGTACCAGGAAGAAAGACCTCATAATCTGTTTCCATAATGTTCACAGCCAGAAAAGCCCTGTGGAGCAGTTCCACATGGGTTCACCATGAGTGATGGCAGTGGGATGGGTTTGGTTTGGAACATGTACCAGGCACTATTTTAGGCACTGGGGTCATTAAAGTGGAAGAGACAGACAAAGCCTCTGGTCTTTGAATTTTACACTGTAGTGAGGAGAGAGAAGGGGGTATGGGAAGAAAAATGTAGAAAATGTAGAGTGGTAAGTATGAGGCAGACTGTAAGACAATACGTTGTTGTCAAGGGCCATTGAGTTGGTTCCTACTCATAGCGACCTTATACAGCTGGTGGGTTTGAACCACGAACCTTGTTGTTCAAGCCGACCTTGTGGTCTAGTGCATTATCCTGCAGTGCCACACCAGGACACCATGATGATATGTTAGAGTAACTATTCTGCTTCTTGGAGGGAGAGGTCAAGAAGGCCCATCTAAGTAAGTGACATTTTAAACTTAATGGCAAGAACAACAATGTTAAGTGCCATCAAGTCGGTTCCGACCCATAGTGACCCTGAACAGGGTTTCCAAGGCTGTAAATCTTTACAGGAGCAGAAAGCCTCATCTTTCTCCTGCGGAGCAGCTGGTAGTTTTTAACTGTTGACCTTGCAGTCTGCAGCTTGATTCATAACCACTACGCTACCAGAGCTCCTTAAGAACAAACTAGCCATGGGAAAATTAGAAAAGGATTCCTGGCCAAAGAAACTGCTAATGCAAAGATCCTAAGGTAGAATCGTCTTGGAGTATTTGAGGAATCAAAAGGTCGGTATGAGTGAGTGTAGTGGGTGGGAATCTGCGCATACAAAAAGTGAAAGGCCATGTTAAGGAAACAGGAGGGACTGATGTAATTTATGCTCTGGGAATCTTACTCTGCCTGCTGTGGAGAATATTCTGGACTGGGAGGTACCAGTGGAAGTGGGGAGAGCAGTGCAGGAGACGAATCTACAACTTATAAGACAGAAGTCTCAGGGAGGAGCGGCATTAGCCCATACTCTCGGTGACAAGATAACCTAAAGGCTAAGAGTTCAGGCTCTGGTGATGAAACACCTGTGTTTCTTTATCAGTGTGAGCTGCTTGATGCCATGTGGCATGGGCAATTTTCTTTATCCCTGGGAACCTCAGTTTCCTTATATGTAGAAAAAAGATAAAAAATATCTATTCCTAAAATTGTTTTGAGGGTTAAAATAAAGCACACATAGAGCTTCCTAATCACAGTGCCTGGTACAAAATAAATACTTAAAAAGTTACAGAATGACTCCAATAAACAATAATGTTAATGATTCCTGGGGAGGCTGTTGCTTATCATCACCCATGGCCAGAAAGGGTAACTGAAAGCTGAAAAAATATATACATATTTACAACTGTTTTCTCTGAGTTTCAAAAAAAAAACCTACTTTTTAACAACTAGGACACACATTCACACTAATATTCATGAAAACATTATTTACCATAGCCAAAAGGTTGAAACAACCCAAGTGCTCATTAGCAGATGAATGGGCACATAAAAATGAGGTGCATACATACAATGGAAGGAGCTCTGATGGCTGCTAACCTCAGGGACAGCAGTCCGAAACTACCAGCTGTTAAGTGGGATAAAGGTGAGGCTTTCTGCTACCGTAAAGATTTACAGCCTCAGAAACCCTGTACAGGGTCGCTATGAGTCGGAACAAACTCCACAGCATATAACCACCACCACCACCACCACAACATACAATGGAGTTGTAGTTAGCATACAGAGAAGTGAAGTTCTGATACAGGCCAGAACACTGGAAAAACCTTCAAATCACAAAGGGCAAATATTATACAATTCCATTTTTATGAAATATCTAGAGTTGGTAAATCCATCGTGAAAATTAACGGTTACCCAGGGGAAGGGAAAAATGTGATTTTAAAAAAATCTTTTTTCATCTGTACAGAAGGGCTTCAAAAGTTTGTGGAAAATTTTCATTATCTTTTCATTCTATGTTTCTACTAACTTTTTGAAGCCTCCCTGAATATATTTAAACCTTTTTAAATGATTTAGATTTAAACCTGTTCACACTATTTATTGACACTTAAATTAACTTAGTTGATTCTCATCAGCCCGGTGATTGGAGGGTTCATGTTATCATACTACCTCCCCAGACCCTTGCTTTTATTTATTTTTTCTTGCCTTTATTTTATTTATTTATTTTTCCTTCCCTGTTTTTCCCTACCCTCAATCTCTGGTAACCACTCATCTACATGATGAATTTACCTGTTCTAGATAATTCATAAAAATGGGACCGAACTGTAGAGTATTTGACCTTTTGTGTCTGAATTTTTTCACTGAGCATTATCACCACCCATCTTGTCAGAAGTCTTTAAATACTGGGTTGCATGCTGTTCATAAGGAGCTCTGGTAGCGTAGTGGTTACGAATTGGGCTGCTAATTGCAAGGGCAGCAGTTCGAAACTACCAGCCTTTCTTCAGGAGAAAGATAAGGCGTTCTGCTTCCATAAAGATTTACAGTCTCGGAAACCCTGTACAGGGTTGCTATGAGTCAGAACCGACTCCATGGCACACAACAACAACAATGCAGTTCATGGAGGTAGATACAAGCGTTCTAAAATTCTAACTTGTACCTGAAAGCTCAGATTTTATCATTAGCAATGACTGTTAATTTTTTTCTTGATTTGACAAGCTCATTTTATTTACTTTCAAGAACATGCCTATCAAATACCCCATGACTGAATAACTACAGTATGTGTCAATCATTCTTTCACGTGAAAATGGAGAAAGTGACTAGTTCAGCTTGCAACTAAAACAACAGCACAAAGAATTTTCCCTATCCTAAGTTGGAAGTCCTGGTGTGGCGCTGTGGGTAAATGCGCCAGACTGCAAAGCCATGCAGTTCAAGCTCACCAGCAGCTCCTTGGAAACCCCATACGGGGTCGCTATGGGTCGGAACTGACTCGATAGCACTTAACAACAACAACAAGTTGGGATGCAGTGAAAATGCGTGTGTGCATCCCCTTTTTGTCACACAGGACACTAAGAAATATACTCAAGGGTTGAGATTTAATAAAATTCATCATAGGTACTACTCTGTCAGAACTGACTTGATGGCACTTAACAACAGCAACTGCTTTGTCAATAACATTTTAAAGTGAGGCTTCCTGTTTTTATCCTGCAAATAGGTGGCAGTGATGACTAGTATAGTTTCGTATCATTGCCATGATTCAGGATAAGCCACCAGCAGTTTTACCCACCATTGCTTTTGACCATCAGTGCCAATGTCAACTCATGAAAAAAGGCAGATAATGTTTGATTATTATTACGAAAATAGCTCTGACATCAAGAACTTCCTAAAAAGATTAGCCACAGGAGTCCATAGATCCCTAGGAGTCCATGGATGATATTTTGAGAACCATTGTCCTAATTCTATATTGTTTTCGAGGGCAAAGCTTCAATGGTAGCAGTAAACCCCAGGCTTTCCATCTGACTTCACCACTCTAGCATCCTCTGCAGTGGGTTAATGCACGCAGCTGCTAACCAAAAAGTTGGAGGTTCAAGTCCACCCAAAGGCACCTTGGAAGAAAGACGTGGTAACCAATGTCTGAAAAAAAAAAATCAGTCATTGAAAATCCTGTGAATCAAAGTTTTATTCTGACACAAATGAGGTTATCCTGAGTTTGGAGTCAGCTAGATGGCAGTTTGGAGTCTTGGTGTGGCACTGTAGGGTAAGCACTGGACCACAAAGTCAATTTGAACTGCAAGGTAGACAGTTCAGACCCACCAGCTGCTTCTTGGAAACCCTATACAGGGTCGATATGAGACGGCACTTAACAACAACAAAATGATAGTTGGCTTCTCTTATCACTCTTAAACTGTTTGCCAATGACTAGCAGATCAATTGTATTTTATGGTTTAACTGGGCCATATTGAGCCTTCCAGTTCTGTGTTGTTGTTAAAGTACCGTGGAGTCGGTTCCGGCTCATAGTGACCCTGCACAGGGTTCCTTAGGCTGCAAATCTTTACGGGAGCAAAACGCCTCATCTTTTTCCCGCGGACCTGGTAGTTTTAAACTGCTATCCTTGAGGTTGGCAGCCTGACTCGTAACCACTAAGCTACCAGAGCTCCAGTTCTGTAGAAATAAAATTGACCCAGGAGGCATCTCTAGGGTCAAGGGCCATGAATGTGTGTTATCTGCCTCCGATTTCTTCCTGGTGGCACTCACGATCTATGAGACGAACGCCAGTGGGCCGACTTGATGAAGCCCTGAAAGCCATAACTCCTGTGTCTTCAGGACCCGGGCTCATAGTTCCGATGCAGTACTACACACAGCCTTTTCATTATAAATAAATCAACATTTCTTTAAGTGACAAGTAATTGGGACAGTAACTTGAGTTTTTCTTAAAACCCTGGACTGTGGGGTTAATTAGTCAAATAATTACTTAGCACCTGATTAGGAGTTCAGAGTCCTGGCTTTTGAATTGAGACTCACCGTATCTCAAGAATGGGTAAACACTGTCAGATTATTTTCATTTGGGTGGCCCTGACACAA